GCGCCGCGCCGCGCCGCGCAGCGGTGTAGCCGGGCCGACTCCTCCATTAGAGGGTCTTTGCCGCCGTTTAGAAGCCCATTGTTTTAAAGTTTGCCTGCGGCTGCGTGATAGCAAACTGTCGCAAACAACTTGCACGTGTGTGTGCGTATGTGTGTGTGTGTGTGTCGTAGGGAGGGGAGGGAGTTTTGCTTGTGCCGTATGCTCCGCACCGGTGCCCGTTTGAGCAAGACAGAGACGACAGCAACAACACCACGGCGCGCGCTTTATAAAGCCTCCCGTTCGTAAGTGCATAACCTCTCCCTGGCGCGCGATAAAAGAGAAAGCTTTCCCGCTCTCATAGCCAGGGCTTGCCGCGGCGGTGAGCGAAGGCCGCGCCCCGCCGCGCACCTAGAGAGCCCCACCTGCCTCGCCTTGTCGCCCATGCCAAACTGTGTCCGGCCGCCGGGCGCCGGGCCGGGCCGGCACAACTCACTTACGCTCGTCCCCGCCTCGGTCCCCGCGGTCGCTGCAGCGGCAGCAGCTTTCCCTTTTCACACGGGGCCACTAAGCAGCGTGGGGCGACTCCCGGTCACGTGAGAGCCGCCGCCAGCTCACCTGGTTATTATATATCCCTCGTTTGGCGCCGTTTTTTTTTTTTTTTTTTTTTTAAAGCCGAAACCGCGTGATTATATGGAAATGGCGACTAAGTCGGTCTCAGAAAACAACGTCTAATAAGTGAGACAGCTTGTCTCATTACAGGCACACGTCTTCACTGTACACATGTCTTTGTGCATCCAGAAAACACTTTTCTTAAGGCAAGAAAAATGAAGATGCAGCCAAATCTGAGTGTTTTTGTCTTGATGTCAGTGCATGAGCCAAATGCAGTTCTCGTGTCAAGTGCACTGATCTTGGGTTGCGTTTTATGACGTGTTTTACTTTGCAGCAAGTGAGACACACACGCATGTGCCTGGCTTTAGTTAATATCTGAGTCAGTCTGTCTGTTGCCGGTAACGGCGCACCTCTGTTGTTGTTCCTTTGACACGTTCATAAAGAACAGGTGACGCGCGTCTGTGTCGCGCACCTGCCGTCGCACCCCTCCTCGTTTTCTGAACTCCCTAGGCGAGCCTAACCCCCTCCCCCCCCCCAGTAGTAATACCGTACCCTGATCAAACGGATCCAGATCAAATGCACCCCCCCTCCCCCATTAAATGGGCTCTTAATTACCCTCCCCCTCCGGTCAACACTCCCCCTCTATCTCTTCCCTCCAGTCACCCCTCCCCCTCCGGTCAACCCTCCCCCTCTATCCCCCCCCTCCCCCCTCCGATCAGCCCCAGGTCAACGCGACCCTCTTTTTCTCCCTCTCCCTCCCCCGCTCTGCATCGGCACTTGGCCGTGTGGGGATTGCGACCCACATGCTGCATTAGGGGAAGGGAAAGGAGAAAGGAAAGGGGGAAAGGAGCAGGGAAAGGGAAAGGAATAGGAAAATAAGGGGTACGATAATTTTTTTCTGGCTTTCTTTATAAAATTGCAGCTTCGAGATCTCAGAAAGGTCTATGTGTGTCTCGCAGAAATTAGGTAAAAATTGGCAAGGAGCATTTTGGAGCTTTTGGAGCGGTTTTGGAGCTTTTGGAGCGGTTTTGGAGCTTTTGGAGCAGTTTTTGGAGCTTTTGGAGCAGTTTTTGGAGCTTTTGGAGCAGTTTTTGGAGCTTTTTATGCAGGCCTTTTTCAGCATTATGAGCTTTGATGCCCCTCCCCCCCCACCACTACCCCTATGCCTGTTTTTCGGAGGTTAGTTGCTTGGGTGTCAGTGAGGTCGTGTCATTTCGAAAGAGTCAATGGGGCATCAAAGCGCACTCCTGCAAGTTTTTACAGCATTTCCATGCGTGCCCAGGAGGCATGCTGACGCGCTCGTTAGAATTTTTCTTAAAATGCGGAAAATTCTATCCCCCCTGAATGGAGGCCTATACAAAACCGCGTCATACGATGAAAACGAGTGAAAATTATCTGAAGGGATTTAGGGGTACTTGTTCGAGCTTTTCAAACAGTTTTTGGAGGTTTGGGAGCAGTTTTTAGAGTCTTTGGAACTTTTGAAGCATGGTATCGCAATTTTTGGAGCGTCTTGGAGGCAAAGATGACATGTGAAAAGTTTACTTCTGTGTTTTTATTTGCAAAATGATTGAGATGCGGCTAGCAGGTTGAGAAGGACAGATAAAAAAGGGTCTGTAGAATGTTGATTCAACAGTTTCCTTTTCTCGCGCCATTCTTCGTGTTTGCTAGCCATAAGTTGGATGCTCTCTTTAAAATTTTCTAAAATTTGTGTTTCGTATGTTGACAGAGAGAAGTATCCGCGAAGAAGATTAAGGCATATTTCGTTTAGGAAGCAGATAAGCCCCTTGGGAGCGTCCTCAAGAAC